TCAGCTGGAAGTGAGACCGTCATAGCTACTGCGAAACGAAGTTAGCTGTGGGCAGTTGGTTCAGACATAACACACTTTCCTGTTTCCGCTTACACAAAGCTTTTCCTCTAGAGTATTGCTTTTCTTTGTTTTATAACATTAAGAAGAAGAAGAGAAAAAAACTGGGCAGGGGTGATGGCCCTGTCTGCAGATGGTTGCTGCAGAAGTCCCAGGAACTGAGCTCAGGTCCCCAGCACACATATAAAAGCCAGGCCCGGCAGACTATGACCGTGTGATCCCAGTGCTGGGGATAGAGCAGACAGACTTGTCTCTGGAGCTCTCTGGCCAGCCAGGTGAGCTGAATATGTGCTCACCAGGTTCGGTGAGAGATCCTGTGTCCAACGGTTAAGACCAAGGTTCCTAGAGGGAAGCCCCTGACACTGATCTCGCTTCTACAAATGCGCACACGTGTACACACACACACACACACACACACACACACACACACTCACAGAATGTGTTACACATACTCACAGAAGTTAACAGCTATGCAATTCTAAAGAATATTTAAAAAGGCAACAATGTCATGGGAAGAAAACATATACACCAGCCAGGTGTTTCCTAAGCTTGTATGTTAACAGTGTGAATTACTCTTGAGAGAAGAAGAAATTTTGTGGGTATCATGGGTTGACTTACTGTTTTTTTTATTGTACTGTTATCTTGGATTTGTAAATGAAAAGAGCCTCTTCTTGTTTTCACACAGTTGTAAAAGCAACACAAGTTAGACAGTAAAAGGCCAAACTTTGAAATCAAGGGAATACAAATGAATAACGTGAGTTTAATGTGGCATTGCTTTTTCTGGAACTTAGTGAATTCTTACCATCAAATTCACTTGGTGCTGGATGTGAGCACTGGTTCATTTTCGTTTGGCAGGCCTGTGATGCCTGGTGCCTGCGGTGACATCTTCTCTGCCATTTTTCTCCACTTGAGGTTGCATGCATTGCTGGGTCCTGTGTCACTAGCTACATTCCTTACGTGTAAACCAACTCTGTCTCTACTATTTTTGTTTTATGCACACTTTAGAAAAAAATACTTTTCATTAGACATCAGTGCTGGCACGGAGATGCCGGCACCATGTAGCTGTTGAAGGGCCTACCGCAGATGATATGGAATAAGAGTTTTAGTTTACTTTCAGTTATCACGAAAGCATTCACAATTTATAAACTTAGAGGACTATAAACACACAAAAACACAAATTATCCTTGGGTCCAGCAGCCCAGCATTCAACATCTCCAGGGCTCAGTTGGTCAAGTGCTTAGCCTGCATGATGCCCAAGTGCTGTCCCTGACACCATACAAACTCCTGGTGACCTCAAAACCAGAGGCTTAAGCAAAAGTATTAGAAATTTAAGGCTATCCTCGGCTACAAAAGGAGTTCAAGGCCAGCCTGGAGTGCATAAGACCGTGTACTTTGGAAAACAAATCGCAGACAGGGATAGCTCACACCTTTAGTTCCCCCAGCACTTGGGAGGTAGAGGCAGGTAGATCTCTGAGTTCTGGGCCATCCTGTTCTACAGAACAAGTTCCAAGACAGCCAGATTCCTGTCTCAAAAATCTGGAGAGAGGGAAAGTGGGGGGGTCTTTAAATAGAAGGGAGAGAGAGAGAGAGAGAGAGAGAGAGAGAGAGAGAGAGAGAGAGAGAGAGAGAGCACTCTTTAAATAGTAGGCTGTAAGTGTTGACCAGGTCCAGAGACTAGCCTGTGTCAGGGCTCACAGAAGCCATTTCCCTCCCAGAATCCTAGATTCTCAGAGTGGCTCAGAGAAGCAGACTTGGGTAGGGCTGAGTGGAGAGAGCACCGGGGGTGTCTGATGAAGTGGCAGGGCTCTCTGGAACAGCTGTATCGCTCACTCGGAGAGGCTAGAGGGCTTGCCCACTGCCCTTCACACTCAACCTGTAGGTCTCAGAAGACGGCACACAGAAACATGGGCCTGGGGTGTAGTAGCTCGCAGCTTTCAGGGCTAGGGCTATAATGTAGGTTCCCACTGGGATGTTTTCTTAAAACAAGACATGCCTTTTTTTTTCATAGAAAAACTCCTTGAAATTTTGATTGCTTCGTGGGCCCTTGATGTTTGTGTTCTGCTTAAAACTGGTGTCTGAGGTTGTGGTACGAATACCTAACATGCAATCTTCCCTCCTGGCAATTTTTAAAATAGTGTATTGCATTTTGTTTTAGTGTGTGTGTGTGTGTGTGTGTGTGTTTAGGGAGGGTGAGAGAGCGCTGTGGCATGGAGGTCAGAAGACAGTTTGTGTTAGTTGGCTCTCTCCCTGCACCATGTGGGTTCTGGGGTTGACACCCAGTTCATCGGTCTGGGCAGCAAACACCTTTACCCGCTGAGCCCTCTCTCAGTGGACCCCTAGCAAGAACGTAAGACTAAATACAGGATCGCTAACTCCAGACAGGTTCTCGTATGGAGGACCTCTCAGCTTGCAGAACGTACTCAACTTGAAGCTGGGATCTTGTTGCCATTGAGTAGCAATCACCTCCTCCCTCCACCCTCAGCCCAGGAGCCTTCCGTGAGTTGGGGCGTTTGTCGTCATTACATGAGTGGAATCACGTTTGCTTTCCCCTTTAGATACTGACTCGTTTCGCCAGGCCTAATGTCCTCAAGTTTCTTCTATGTCGTCACAGTTTGCAAGGCTTTTTTTTCTCTCTCTCTATTAAAGGCAGAGTAATATTCCACATACCCTTATATACTCACTGTCATACATTTCAACCCCATCCAGCCCACCTGGACTCTTTCCTGTCTTGTCAGTTCTCTTGGAACTCCCCAAGTGCCTCCCGTCAGTTGAGAGAACTTGCAAAGAAAGGAGGATACAACAGAGAGGGATTGAGCCTGAGTAGGTAGACACTTGCTTGGGAATCTAATCTGTAGGATGTTGCGCCGTCGCCTGCTTTGAGAGTCACTGGCATATAACTGCTTATCAGCTGCTGTGGGCCACCTTATCAATGGCTTCCAGAGGTTCCTTCACTTCACTTTCTCTGGAGAAACTCCTTTATGTGGGTTGTGACAGTTACTTCTAGATGTTAACTTGCCACAACTTAGAATTATCCAACGAGAGTCTTAACCGAGTGGTTGTCTTTATCAGCTTGCTCTGTGGGTATGTTTCTGGGGCTTGTCTAATTGTTAATTGAAGTGATTAATCATAGGAAGACCCAGCCCACCATGAATGGCAGTATTCCTAGGTGGCAGAAGGAGGTGACTGTAAAGCTACCAAGCAGTCAGCCTTCATTTCTCTCTGCTCTTGGCTATGGGTGTGATGTGAGAAGATGTTTCAGACCCCAACTTGGCTTCTCCTGGATGATAGACTGTGCTCTGGAATAGTAAAGCCAAGTGAACCATTTGCCCCTCATTGTCTTTTTATCAGGGTGCTTGTTACAACAACAAAGAAACAAGTGCCTAGAGCATGGGTCCTGAGCCTAGAACAGTGGTCCTGAGCCTAGAGCATGGGTCCTGAGCCTAGAACACTGGTTCTGAGCCTAGATCATGGTCCTGAACCTAGAACACTGGCCCTGAGTCTAGAGTGTGGGTCCTGAGTAGAGTGTGGATCCTGAGTCTAGAGTGTGAGTCCTGAGTCTACAGCATGGGTCCTGAGCTTAGAGCATGGTTCCTGAGCCTCCTGAGCTGTGAGTGCAGGTCCTGAGTCTATAGCATGGGTCCTGAGCCTAGAGTGTGAGTCCTGAGCCTGGAACACTGATCCTGAACCTTGAGTATGGGTCCTGAGCCTAAAACATTGGTCCTTAGCCTAGAACACTAGTCCTGAGCCTAGAGCTTGGGTCCTCAGCTTAGAATACAGGTCCTGGGCTTAGAGCCCTGGTCCTGAGCCTAGAACACTGGTCCTGAGTCTAGAGCTTGGGTTCTGAGCCTAGAACAGTGGCCCTGAGCTTGGAGCATGGGCCCTGAGCCTAGAGCACTGGTCCTGAGCCTAGAGCATGGATCCTGAGCCTAGAGCTTGGGTCCTGAGCCTAGAGCATGGATCCTGAGCTCAATCCCCCTTGTTGGTTTACTTGAAATTCCCCCCATTGACCCAGGCAGTGTGTACAGCCTCCCCATAGAATCTGCTTCCTGGAAACTCTTACCCAGACCCCCAAGAACAGCCCACAGTGGGCGGTGCTGGTTTTCCAGGCAGCCTGGGCATAGAGAGCCTAAGCAGAAGGCAACATATGCCCTGTGATATTTCTAACGCCTGTGGAGCACAAGCCCAGAGAAATTGTATCCAAAATCCTAGCTGAATTTTCCTAATCAGTAACTTCAATGTCCACAGAGCCTACATTTTGGATGTGGTGTGCTAAGTGGTAATTGAGGTTTGCAAAATGCTATGTGCTTTTTTCTGGTGTTCTTCCAGTGGCCTGTGAGCTGAAACTTAGACACAGACTCTTCTGGAGTTGCCTCTTCCTGTTTAGAGAGGCTGGCATAATATTTTGTCTTCTGGGCTCAAATAACCATGTAATTACTCTGTAATCATATAGTAATTAGTATGTTCTATACGCATTTATTACATAATTATATTCCTGGAGGATTGCATGGCAATTATACTTGCATTCAGCATATCATTTTATGTGCTGTATCATGAACAAGGATATAATTTGTTGCTGTTTTCTTTGATCCTGATTTCAGTTTACCAAGCAGGAGCTGGAAACATTTCTCCAGTTGCCCCCTTTTTTTTTTAACTAGTAGCTGGGCAGGTGCCCGAGTTCCCCGGGCCTGGATCCCAGCTCCACAAAGATACCTAAGGAACATCTAGGGACTACCGTAGTCTCTTCGCCATTGCACCCCAACACTTTCTCCCTGTCATGGGCCATTGTGTCACCCACCAGGTTTGAAACTCCGTGAATTCTAGAGCGCGCGCGTGCGCGCGCGCGCATGGCCGGGTGGATGGTGAGAGCTCATCATCGCAGACAGTGTGTGGGAGCTCTCGTGAGCCAGGCCCCATGCTCAACCCCTCTTTCTCTGCCTTTGCAGTGGAGCACATTTCCAAAGGGAACAACTGCCTGGATGCGGCCAAGGCCTGCAACCTGGATGACACCTGCAAGAAGTACAGGTCTGCCTACATCACCCCGTGCACCACCAGCATGTCCAACGAGGTCTGCAACCGCCGCAAGTGCCACAAGGCCCTCAGGCAGTTCTTCGACAAGGTCCCGGCCAAGCACAGCTACGGGATGCTCTTCTGCTCCTGCAGGGACATCGCCTGCACTGAGCGGCGGCGACAGACGATCGTGCCCGTGTGCTCCTACGAGGAGCAACGAGACAAGCCCAACTGCCTGAATCTGCAGGACTCCTGCAAGACAAACTACATCTGCAGGTGAGTGTGCCGGCGATTGATGAGGAAGCCGTGGCCCTCTGCTCCAGCTGCCAGGCCCCAGGGTGGCCTGTGCTGCTCTCATCAGGGCATCAGGGCGGGTCCTCCTGGTGGAGTGCTGAGAGTCTGACCTCTGCAGCTGCAGCCTGGGGACCGACCGTCGAGTCCTTAACGAGGCAATGCTTTGAGACAGAAGGTGAGGGGGAAGGCCCACTGCTTACGTGGAGCCCTCTAAGGTGAGCGAGGCCCCCCCGGGTGAGGTTGGCTACAGCATTAGCCCACCTAGGCTCCCAGGGTCTGCCAAGCCTGGAAAAGAAGTTGCCATGGAGAGAGAGGCTGTTGATCTTCAGGTGCAGTGTACCAGAAGAGGCCAGACAGTGGGAGTTAGCTGTGTCCAGCCTTTAGTGTGTGTGTGTGTGGGGGGGGGGTAGAAAATGTTCATTTATTGGTTTATTTTTAACATTTGAAGGAGTCCACAAACACACTCTCTGTGGGGAGAAGGGGTGCGGGGTGGGCAGGGGGTGAGGTTGGGGTTTGGGTGGGGGTTGCACTAGCAGCTCCTTCTCACCCCAGCCCTGTTAACAGTTTGGTGTACGTCCTTCCAGAGCTTGGAGCTAGAAACCAGTACTAGTTCTGCAGGCCAAGGCTTGCCGTGCCTCTTTCAGAAGAGCAGACGGGGCACCGTATCCGTGCTGTCTTCTCTTTGTCCTCTGGGTTGCATGCAGGGGACTTCAGAGCCTCTGCACATCCCTCGTTCTCAGTGGGCATGTGGTGGGCGAAACTGCCAGGTGCTTTGCTTGTTTTATGATAATAGACTCCCTGTTTCCAAAGACTAGAGATCAAGAAAACACACACACACACACACACACACACACACACACAATGCCTGGTGTATTAGTTCCGATTAGCTATTAATCTTACTCTGGAGGAACGGGACCCCCATTCTTTTCTTTAAATAAACTCTTAATAGTAACCAAAGGAAGCGAAAGTCTTCATAAGTGTGGCTGTCTCATGCTAAAGATGTTTTCCTCCTCTCCCTCCCTCCCCCTCCCTCTCTTTCTGCCCGTCCATGGGCATGTACACACACATGCACATATACACACACCTGTGCATCTGCATCAAGACTCTAGGCCAGACTCAGATGCTGTTTCTCAGGACCCACGTCCACTTTGTCTCTTAAAACACGGCTCTTCAGCCGGGCGTTGGTGGCGCATGCCTTTAATCCCAGCACTCGGGAGGCAGAGGCAGGAGGATCTCTGTGAGTTTGAGGCCAGCCTGGTCTACAGAGCGAGTTCCAGGACAGCCTCCAAAACAATACAGAGAAACCCTGCCTCGAAAACCAAAACCAAAACCAAAACAAAACACAGCTCTTCGCTTCACCCAGAGCTCACAGATTTGGTGGGGCTGGCTGTTCATGGAGGCCCTGGGATCTGTCTGTCTCTGCTCCCCCACCCCACCCCTGCCATCCCCAGTCCCCGGTGCACACCACCAGGCTCACCTTTGTTCCGTGAGTCTCTGGGAACTCACACACAAGCCCTCTTGCTCACAGGTTGAGCACACTGACCGAGCTTTCTCCCAAGCACCCCTGTTAAAAAAGATTTTTTTTTCTGAGAATTAATGGCTGTTCATGTGCATGCTGTTGTCTGCTTGCTTTGTTGAAAGACGTGGTCCGTTGTTCCTGGGGGGGGCGGGGGCTTGGGGCAGTTTATGTGGGGAGAGCAGCCTCTCTACGCCCCCAGCCACCGGTCCCATGGGGCCATCTTGGGAGAGATGGGTTGTCCTGAGCCTGGGGTAGGCCCCAGCATACCAGGAACCTAGAAAGCAGATGTCGCGGAGGGCAGGGTGGTGGGTGATGGAAGCCAGGTCTCACATGGAAGGATGGGAAGGCTCGAGAACTCTGAAGAGCAGAAGGGGTCCCCTTTGTGTGAACAGGACTTGACTTCCAGTGTGTTCTTTGGCTTAGAGCCAGACAGTTCATCCCTAAGGTGTCATCCCCACCCACTGCTGCTGAGTCGGTCAAGGAAGGAGGCCTGGGCTCCCGAGTCCTCCCGGGGAAGGAAGAAGGGCTGAACGGGGTTAGAAGCGGAGGGGCGGATGGGCATCTGCCACTGAGTAGTGGCTGGCCGAGGAGGCGAATTCTTCTCTTTCTAAAGATTTCTATTGCACACGCCTTCAGGGAAGGTCTGTGACACACTCTCATGGGCCAAGAGCCTACCGTGAGTGTTGAATTTGCGTTCGCCTGCACGTTGCCGTGTTCTGCTAAAGATAACAACAATCCTTGGATTGGTGTAAATTTGTTACATCGCACTGGACTCCTGCTCACCTAGGGGAGGAGAACTGGGAACTTGGAGACTTGGAGGCCTCTGGGGAAGTGGCAGGAGGAACCCGTAGATGATAACGGCGGTTTGGCTGCTCTCTGGCTTTGGAGTTGGATTGGCTCTCCTGCTTTGGAGTTGGATTGGCTCTCCCTAGACTTGCCCCGCACAAGAATAAGTTCAAGAAGCTGAGAGACATTCCCGTGGCTCAACTGACAGGACAGAAATGGAAAATGTACAGGAGACTGAGAGAGTTCTTGCCTAAAACTGAGTGTCCCAGCCCTGCCAAGGCCAGGGTGGCATATACAGAAGCCATTAACAACACAGTGGGGTGGCAGCCCTGTGGGTACAATAACTTCTGGGGGGTGGTGTGGGCGTTACTGTCGCCACTGCTTTGGATAGAACTCAGAGGCCCGTGTGAGAGCCAGAGCTAGGCTTACCAGGGAGCCCCACGGAGGGAAGGTTATCTCCGTGTGACTGATGGGTTTTATACTCTGTCTTAAGCCTCTCCTGGGGAAGCTGACTTCTCCCGTGTTACCTCGTAAGGTTGCCTGGCCCACAACCTCTTTCCAGAGCCTGGACTTAACTTCTCATGATCACCCACCCACCCCCTGTCCAATGTGGGTGAGTGCAATCTCGAGACGCCGCGTCTTTTCTTTTAGAAAAGAGTCAAACATACACAGATGACAGTCCCCATATATGTATATCTTTTTTGTTGTCGTTGTTTCTGCCTTATATCAATGGCTCTTTGATATAATACAGAAAGTCTGAATTGCATTTTAACAATATGCTTGGGTTTAAAGCAGGAAAGCCAATCCAACTCCAAAGCCAGCATTAATTAGATGAATCGGGACTCAGGCATATGAAGAAGTGGAAAAAACAGAAATTACGATAGCAAAATACAGAGATTTAGACATTGATAACGAAATCTGCTGAAGGAAAATGGTGCCGGTCCCTCAGTTCCGTGCTGCTATTTCCATCTCTTCTCAGTCCAGCTTAAGGAAGCCTCCATCAACCCACCCAGGGCGAGTACCCGGTGGTGGCTGGAGCCTGGCGTTCGGTGGGCTCCCTGCTATGGTCACCCACCCCTCTAAGCCCACGCCTGGCTCTGCTGTGGCGGCTGAAGGGCTTGTGTGAGCATCCCTGTCGGGAAGGGACGGCCCGAGCAAACACCGAGTGCTAACTACCTCTCCCTCCGAATCTTCAGACTTCCCAAAGAGCCCTTCCTGGCGGTACCATCCCTGCCTATCAAAGAGCCGCTCAGACTGACTAAAACCTCCCTGAACGTAATGCTTTTCCTGATGCAGCCTTCAGGGTTCCGTCCCGAGGGTCCCAGGGCGCCTCTGCATAAAACCCACTCTCTCTGCTGCCTTGAGACTTCAAACGCACACGAAGCAACTTGAGGCTTGCCTGTGCCTTTGTTTTCCTTTCCCTCCTTTCTTCTTCAGTGAAACTGACAGGCTCCTTTCCCTCTTGGGGTGGTTGGGGAAGGAGTGAGCTTGACTGCTCAGGCCCCCAAGCTTCTCCGAGCAGGAGCACGCGTCGAGGTGTTAGGAGACAGCTGTGATGAAATCTGAAAGCTCTGTGCTCCTCCCCTGGAGCACCACAGCTCACATGCCAGCCTCCTTCTGGTTGCTACCCTTCCCGCCCAGAAGGCTGACAATGCCTAGTGTGACCTAAAGGAAGCACGTCCTTCGTTCCCGATGCAAATTATGCCGTGTACATTATTTAAATTTACACTCTGCTTGCTCCCTCCCTTCCTCCCCAAATTCCAACATCCAGAGTTAAGCTCGGCTCCTGAGTTCTGACTCGGGATACCAGAGATTTGCTTCACGGTTGCTCTTAGCTCTCTAATTAGTCACTCGGGTGCTTGGCTACTCCCACAGCCGGGAGAGTCTCCTCTGCAAGCTGCCGCGCCCCTGCCGTCTCCGAGGAGTCACCGGAGTCGCCGAGGTGGTGCCATCGCCATTCTTCCTCCATGAGTAGGCCACCTGTCTGTGGCTGACACTGCTACTCCACGCTGCCCTTGTCGAGTGGCTGGGGACTAAGTGATCACTCTGGGTGTGCAGCAGAGACACCGCAACCTTGGGTACCCGAGTGTGCACTAAGGCATTGTGTGCCTCAGAGGCCTGGGTTCTGGGGGCCTCAGCCAGAACCAGCTGTCCACCATGGACAGCGTCCCAGGTTTCCCCTTTGCCTGGCAGAAGGCCCCTACAGGGTGTTTTCTCTGCATTTAGCAATGCTGGGTCGTGATTATCTACTTCCCTCTAGACTGCTCTAGTAATGTTGAACATCGGAAGGAATCTGGGTATGGTGGAGGACCCCTTTAACCTCAGTGCTCAGGAGGCAGAGGCAGACAGATGTGTGTGTGTGTGTGTGTGTGTGTGTGTGTGTGTGTGTGTGTGTGTGTGTGTGAGTCCAGCCTGGTCTACATAGTAAGTTTCAGGCAAGTTGGGGCTACATAGTGAGACCCTGTCTAAAAAATTCATTGGGGACTAGAGAGATGATACAACCGTTAAGAGTTCCCGTTGCTCTTTCCGAAGACACGGGTTCGGTTCCCAGCACCCACATGGGACTCACAGCCATCCATAACTATGGATCCATGGGATCCTACTTGGGTACCAGGCATCATTTACTCATTAAAATAAAATATATAAATCTAAAAGTGCTTCTTAAAGGAGGGAGTCA